CTGCAGGTGCTCACAGAAGCCAGAAGAGGGCATCAGATCCCCTGGAGCTGGAGTTACAGATACTTGAGAACCATCTAAAGTACGTGCTGAGAAAGGTACTCAGGTCCCCTGCAAGAGCATTATGGGCTTTTAAGCACTGAGCAATCTCTTCAGGCCTTTCTGGTCATTTTGCTTGTTTGCTTGCTTTAACCCAGTCTATAGTATCCTATTACAGCACTCCAAAAAGGATCAAGACAAAAATACATATAGAAGAGTGAGAGGCAGTGCATGGCCAGCCTCCAGCCTTCTGCTGCTTGCCTGCTTTCTCAGTATTCCACTCGGGTTCCCAGCATTCTGACTTTTAATAGCACAGGTTAGTTTGGTTCTTTTGTGTCTTATGTAAATGGAGCCATTCAGAGTGTCCTCTTTTGTGTCTGTCTGACACTCTATCTTTTGAAATACCATAACAGATCAATAGCTAGCACTGAACAAACAGGCCGTGCCTGGTGCTTTTCTGACCATTCTATACTCATTAGATTGAACCCGGTGCATTAACTATGGATCAGGTGCAGCTGTTTTCATTTTTACTTTGAAGTAACACTACAGCTTGCACTGGGATGTCAAGGATATGTAGCTTCCTTTTCCGTGGCCATTTTTTCATATTTCCCCTTTAATACATTTATAAATAATTTATTGAAACTAGGAGCCCCTTCAAGCCATAGTTGCAAAGAGAGATCTCCGTCCATCTTTTTGCTTGCAGTTGGTAATGCGTCTTTAATAAACATGTTGAGACTTCCTGAAGCCCCTGAGTAGAGAGTCTCCAAATCACCACCATGGACTGAGCACTTCAGAGCGGCTCTACAGAGCCTTCGCAGTGTCTTCATAAATCAAGATCTGAGTTCGTCCAGGGTGAGAAGGGCATGGGGCTTTAACAACCAGCCCATTCATTTCCTTTTCCGGAAATGATGAGCTATGCAGGGGAACATAAATCACCCTGGCTCCCAATTACATTACAGTTCTGAGGTTTAAGCTCGACTTTGCCCACGACTTTAATATTAGAGTCATGGCTGTAGCACTTCCCCTCGAGGGGAGCTTTGAATGGCATTCACTGAGCAGAGAAATTCTCGTTCTATTACCAAAGAGTGTGTCCCTCTCCTTAAGTAGGTTCCCAATACACTGCACCCCATCGTCTTGTGCTAGCAACTCCCTGGGGAACCACTGAGGAAGGACTGGTAACTCTTGTGACACACGCGACTCTTATAAAATCTTGCTTTCAGCCTCCCTGTATTTAAGGTGCCATCCCACCTTGTCTCAAGGTGCGTCCAACCCCATTTAACTTACTTCCCGACCCCCATTTTCTCATCATTAAAGTAATATCACTCTCTCCTTGGAAACCAAATCAGTTGATAAGCAAACCAATATGAAACTTAAGTGGTGAAGCCACTGGGAGATTTGAGCTCTGTTCCATCCCTAAACACACACGTCATTTCTTCTCTGAAAAGATGGGAACTCAGGCCACATGGTACAGAACGACTCTGGGCCTTAACATGTGCTTGGTGGCTTTGTAAACAATAGGGAAACAAGGGCTGGATCCCGGGAATTTTTTCCATGCTAGGAATTAAGATAACCTTCAAGTTCCATGGGATAGGAAGCGCTTCTTCCTGCTCCATGCCCAGTACAGAGCCTGACTACATGTGGATGTAGAGGCTTCAACCAAATGTAAAGGGGAGCACAGTGCAGACCCTGATTCCTGAGCTGGTTATGATTCATGAAGGAGGGAACCACACAACAGTCTGAGATGACCACGGGCACCCTGAGCACAGGCAGACATGGGTTTTCTAGCTGAAGTCACTGTCTAGAACAACAATTAGACACTTTCAATCCCATATCCACCTCTGAGTCCGTAAATGTAGGCAGATCATTTTATGTTTCAGTGTAATTAGGTCCTGTGCATCATCTGACATATATATTTATGCTAAAATGATTTCTTTACTTGAAATTCAAATTCATCTGGGAATCTTGTGTCTTGTTTGAAAGCAGCTCACTACCACTAAGCTCATTTTTACAACATGTAGCTTTCTGGGTAATCATTCCTAAAGAGGTAAAAGGGTTCTTCTTCTGGAGGCCTATGTACTTGGCTATTTCTAGATAATCTATGAGAGAAAAATCTCCATTGTGTCCACTAGCTTCTCCATCAAAATAGAGGATAATTCACAACTGAAGAACTCACAGCCCCTCAGAGACTCTAATCCAAGTGACCACAGGTCATTTCCAGATTGTTCAGTAACCTTCACACTAAAAGTGTTTACTCATTAGACAGTGTCAACTGAACTAAGTCCCTGGTGCCAAGCTGGCTCCTTATCCCTCAGCATAGACCTTCTTGTCTTATAACTAGTGTCGATAAAGATCTGGGTGGGACGTGTTTCCAGCATCATTCTGACTGATACTCTCCATGCCTGGCTCAGGAATCAAGGGTAGTTTGATAAGCTGGCATGAGCTGCTGAATTATTAGTATTAATGTAATAAGGACATTAGATCGTGCATTTGGTTCTAAATAATGAATTGCCCTTGTCAGTGAGAAACATGCATGTGTGTATGAAAGCAGGAATTGGTACTTTAATTTCATGTTAAGACCAGTGTATTTTACTGCCTTTTTCTTCTCTTCTACTTTTAACTATGCACTTTTGGATGAGTGTTAGGACAGCCTTACCAAATGATTCTTGCTTAGAGTTGTGTGGGAACGTGGTTCCCAGCTCCTTTCTGTAAATCTCTTTGCAGCAAATGGTTGGAGCTCAAACCCCATGTGCTATTGGCTAAATGAGAGACATGGATACCATCCAGCATAAATTTGTTTATGTGTTGAGTGGTCAAAAAAAAAAAAGCAAGGAGAGCCAAGTAGAAAACCAGCTCAGAAAACTCATTCTGAGGCCCTTGATTTTCAGGCTGGCCTGGACATTTGAGACACCCTAGAGACTCATGACTGTAGGAGGCAACGCACTCAGGACTTCTACATCAGTTTGCTTCTCTGCTGCTGTAATAAAACACTCTGGCCACAGTCAACTTGGGCAAGAAAGGGTTTGTTTGGCTTCCCGTTTGAGTCCATCACTGGGGAAGCCAAGGTACAAACTCAAGGAGGAATCTGGAGGCAGGACTGAAGCAGAGACCTCGGGGGAAGGCTGTTTCCTGGCTTGCTTCCCCTGAAAATGCTTTTTCAGCTTGCTTTCTTACAGAGCACAGTCTTTCCTGCTGAGGGATGGTGCTGTTCACAGTGGGTTGGACCCTCTTACGTTAATTAACAATTAAGAAAATGTCTACAGACATGCCCACAGGCCAGTATGAGGGAGACAATTCTTCAATTGAGATTCTCTCCTCCCTGTTGACTCTAGATCAGTGGTTCCCAACTGGTGGGGTCATGACCCCATTTTTGGGGGGGGGTCAAATGAGTGGTCACATATCAGATATCCTGCATATCAGATATTTACATTACAATTCATAATAGTAGCAAAAATATAGCCATGAAGTAGCAGCAAAAATAATTTTATAGTTGGGGGTCACTACAACCTGAAGAACTGTATTAAAGGGTCACAGCATTAGGTTGAGAACCACTACTCTAGACTGTATCAGGTTGGCAAAAACTTACTGGCATGCTTTCTACTCAGAAGCTCAACAGGTCCCCCAGGAGTGTTGGTGCATTTGGACACCAAGTCATCTGCAAAGTTCTTTCAGTAACTATAAATGTCTGTGACCAAGGTATATCCTGAACCAATACCATGAGCGTAGGCACAGTCAACCCTATTCATGCGCACTACCCAGGCTGGAGCAAAGTTATAGGGGAAAAAAAAAACAGACCAGGGTAGCTTGGCCCAAGCATTTGCCCCATTGGCTACTAAGTTCTGTGCCTCTTCTTTGGCTCCTCTGAGAGCTCTCGTTTGAAGTCCTTGGTGATAGAAGGACAAGTGCAGAGATACTCTTCCCAGGACCTCTCAGGTGTGTGCCACACCCCCAACATGGTATCGCTGTAACTCAAATGTGCCCAGGCAGGTAGTCCCACTCTTACATCCTTAGACACCATTGAACGAGTGAGATCTGCAGAGGACTCCATTCTATTTAAACAACTAACAATAACCAGAATCCAGCAAAAACTGTAAAGACCTGTTCCCCACAGAAAGAGTGGCCACACTCATGGCCGCATTGCTTTCTATGTGTGTTTGTGTTTTGTTTTGTTTTGCCTCAGCTGTGACTCATGCCCTGTGCTGGTCATGAAGATATTCAGGGCCATTTCCATTAACACTCACAACAGTTTCAAAGCTGTTTCCTTTCTGGCTGTTCTGTTGTTGTTGGCCAAGTGGGAAGGACTTGTAATGGAGTCGCTTTCTCTGTGACTCACAGATTCCCCAAGAACAAAGCGCTATCCTTTTACTGTTTACTCAGAGATCTATTCAGAACTGTGGTGTAGGAACTGACTGTGTGGACCAGGTTGGCCTCAAGCTTGCCAGGATAGATAATCTTACCTCTGCCTCTTGGGTCCTGGGATCACAGACCTTTGAATCAACCCTTCTTCTGCCTTGCACTTAATACTCTTTTCCTAGGAGAACCACCTAAGTTGGAATAAATGATCCAGGCTACAGGGCCTTGGGGTATTTGAACCCCATCTTCCTAAAGTGGGATACTCTGACTCAGGTCTTTCATGCTCTTTCTTTCTCTCTCTTATTCTATTAAACCTGGCTGCCCATCATAGCTTAGTTCTTAATGCTACAGAAGCCCTTTTTCCTTTTCCCCTGACATTTTCCTCTTTTCTGTTTGGTGCTAAGGAATCAAACCCAAGGCCCTTCCCGTACACTTTACCTCTGAAGCCACATATGCCTCTTTAAACAGTATAAAAAGTCCCAATCTCTCTCTCTCTCTCTCTCTCTCTCTCTCTCTCTCTCTCTCACACACACACACACACACACACACACACACACACACGAATCAAGATGTTTTTAAAAAGGCAAAATATAATAATGCATAAGAACCATAATTACATGTTAGTATTGAAACGTAGCGCCAAATTTTCTTTGTGTTTTCCTTTCACCATGGCGAGCCGGAACTGCCTGCTTTCATCCTTCTGGTGATCAGGAGACAGAGGCCATGGAGGAGAGAGAGGCAGGTTGGTGACAAATGGGATGAGAATGGTCCCCTCCCCCCTTGGCATTTATTTCTGGCAGAAGTGCAAGAGCCTGTATGGAAAGGGCACCGAGCCACACAAGGAATAGCTTTTCCAGCCGCTATTTTTCCAGAGATTTAAAACAGCCCAGTTCCTTTGTAAATCTTACCTCGGTGAAGACGTGGAAAGTGGTGTGGAGGAAGTGAATGCAGTCGTATGGAGAGTGTAGCTTCCTGGTGGTCTGGTTAATTCAGGAATAGAGCTCAGAGAGCTGAGAGGATTAAGTGGTCAATGGCTCTTTTAGATTAGCCCTCTCAGATATCAGTGGTTTCCACAAGCCTTAGATGAGATAATAAGATAATTTCAATATTGAGCTTTTGAGAGCCTGAAAAGACTGTGGTGTGCGAAAGACAACTCAACTTCCACCTTCCACAGCCTGCAGTCAGCACCGGCCTTCTGTGAGTGTGTCATTGTTCAAAGCCTGACCTCCTGGTCTTGTGGGGACACCTGACATGGCAGGAGATTATGGCTATGTTAAATGAAAACTTCAAGAAGACACCAGGCTGAGTGTGTGTACCTTATTTAGGGGGAATGGGGAACACCAGCCATGGACATAAGATATGTCAATGTAGGAATGAGCAGCATTGAGCTACAATGAGCAAAGGCAGGATGAGTAACTTCAGCATAGAGAGTACCCAGTGTCCCCAATACCTTCTTCTACCATGCTAGCTCACTGTGACAATTTTTTTTTGGGGGGAGGACACTCAAGTATGAACATGAGTTCTTCTGGAAACAATGAAAATAATGTAGATGGCACAGAGCTCTCTCACCTGAGGAGGAACTGGATATTGGTCGGCACACCAAACACCTACAGAGATGTTCATTTTAGCTCCCTTGGTTGAGAGCTAACCCCAGAAAAGGGTGTTAATTCCAGAGTACTTCCCACAACAATGAATTCATATCTGCACGGAATATATTTCAGAGTTAAATGTGACCATTAGTCTATGATTACCTCACTCTCATAAAGTTCTAGAATTTTCCTAGATACCACTGGCACTTACAAGGCATAGAATAAGAGTTTGGGTTAATGCTTTCTTAGTTTCTTAGTTAAAGCTTTCTTAGTGTGGAAGCCTTCTGTGCAGGAGGCAGAGCATGCTCTTGATCAGTAGTCTCCTGAGGTTCTCGGGGAAGCCCTCAGGCACAAAGCCACAGACCTTCCTTCATAGTGGGGAACTGTCAGGAGCCCACTGAGATGGAAGGGGATGGGATCTGAGGAGTGAAGTCAAGCCTCTGTGTCGTGGTTAACAATGTCAACTTGACAGGCTCCGGAGCCACTGAGGAGACACGCCTCTGGACATGTCTATGAGGGGTTAGCTAAATTAGGTTACCTGTGGTGGGAAGAACCACCCTAAATGTGGGTGGCAACATCTCAGTTCTCAGACTCCCTAAAGTGTGAAAATGCCAGAAACTAGCTGAGCCCCAGCAACCCCACCCTCACCCCTGAAAGGTGAAAGGTGGCCAGCTGCCTCATGCTCCTGCCTCCATGTCTTCCTGGTCCTGAATGACCATCTCTGTGAACTGTGAGCTAAAATAAACCTGTTACTTCCTAGAGTTGCTTTTGTCAGGGATCTGGTCCCAGAAACAAGAACACCGCTATGAATAATCTGCCCTGACACTGTCTCCTCTGCCTGTAAAATGCATCAGAAGCTAGGAGTATTAGGTAAGTTATGCTCACACTATGGGACTTTGGAGTAAGTTCAGTCATGGAGATTTGCCTGCACCCATTCTCTTATCCTAAATGCAAAATCACTGTGTGGAGTTTGTAGACTCTCCATGCTGGCTAATCCTTTTCGCTTTTGTTTTTTATTTTGTTTTTACAAAAGTGAAAGTCAGCCTCAGGATCATTACTGCCCGTGAGTACCATCATCTAGTGAAGAGTCCTTGGTCATGGGTCTGTTTCCACTGAAGTTTGTTTTTAAAAAATTATATATAATCTGCAGAAGTAACGTGGGCCCCTTTCAAATAAATATATTTCAACTAAAAAAAAATTCAGTGCACTGAATAAATAAAAACTAATGACTACAATCAGACACATGAAGTGCTTATTACATCTAATGACCAGACCTCCAGGCCACAAAGCACATCAAGACTGAGAGTGCAGGCCTCTTTCTGCAGTGCAAATAGTCCGCTCTGTTGGGTGCCGCCAAGCTGCCCATGTGCCTCTCGGTACCTGAGTTTGGGAAGAGTTATTCACAGTTTGTTCTTAGAAGTAGAAATGGGTCAGCACATGGATACACTGTGTCACTATGACAGTGTGACGTTCACAAAAGGAGGACTTGTGTTTCTTCTCGAATATCCCAACAATGTCATAGTGAGTATGTCATGGGAGTGCCAAGTAACAGGACAAGGAGCAGTTACTCACATATGTAAACTAGACCTTCAGGTGGCATCCCTGATGTCACGCCTTCAAGTACAGAGTGGGCCACTTCATGCTAGACAGATGTGGAAGTTGAACATTTCAATGGACTCCACGCCACTAGAATGAGTGTTTCTGGATCCTTCCAGAAATAGCGTTTTCAGAAGTACCTTCTTGTCCTCCCACCAGGCCTGTGGGGCCCGGACTCGCTAAATATTGTTCCCTGCTTTCCCAATGCTCTTGTTACCGGTGCTGTGAATAACATGTGTGGTTCCTTGGGTTTTGTGGAATTAAAAATCAGCTCCCAAGCCTGAAATTTAGAGATGAAGAGATCAGAAAATCCTTATTCTGTCACCTGTGTTGCTTTGCTGAATCAAGGAGATATCTCAGTCGATAAAGTGCTTTGTAAGCACAAGAAACTGGATTTAATCCACAAACCCATGTTTAAAAAAATCTGGTGTGATAATATACACCTAAAAGGAGATAGGTGGGGTCTGTGGAGACTGGTAGGCAGCTAGCCCAGCATTTCTGTGAGTTGCGGCCATTGAGAGTCCCTGTCTCCAAAAACTAGGTTAAATGTGTCCTAAGACATGTGCCCTCCACAAGCAACCACACGTACATGTACACACACACACACACACACACACACACACACACACACAGAGAGAGACAGAGACAGAGACAGAGACAGAGATAGAGACAGAGACAGAAAGAGAGAGAGACAGAGAGAGAGAGAGATAGGCAGGCAGGCAGACAGACAGACAGACAGACAGAGAATGCTGCTTTGAGCAAATTATCCTCCTGTTGACTCTCCGGCTTTACACCTGAGATGTGGGTGGGGATTATCAGCAGTCATCACATGGAGTCTTCCATTTTAAGACTGGAAGGAGGCAATGAACGACCACATCCTTGCACAGAGGTCAAGATGAAGGTGAACTTCAGCGGTTGTGACTATGGTCATTATTCTTGCCGCCATTACTTCTCTCAAGGGCTGCCTTGGGGCCGCCTCAGTCTGGTGACTTGGACCACCGTTTTTATCTCAATACCGAATTTGCTTCAGGTGGAGTTGGCAAACAGAGAGAGCTGGGTGCATCTTCCCTGCTCACCTTGTGCCCCCAGTGCGTCTCTCAAGATGTTTGGAGAAAACTAATCAGCGTGTCCGTTTGTTTTCTCGTTTTCTTTGGCTGGCACATACCACGGCCACTTGATTAGCAATCAGTGCCGCGTTGGCAGGCGCTCTGGGGGCCTGTTCCTCCTAATCAGAGATGTAGGAAGCAAACGCTGGTGTGTAAAGAGAACCAACCCTTTTTTGAGCGCTTGTCCCATGACTCTTAATTGTTGTATTTCTCAAACTCAACCCAGCTGCAAGCTTTATCAGGGAAACATTTATTCAGATAACAAGCCTCCAGGATGAAAGAGGGGTAATTATTTTGCAAATGCCTTGGAATTGCTGTATGGTATAGTGCAGCTCATTCCCTAGTTGGGGAAGGTGCACATTTGGGCTGAAACATTGCTTTGTAAATGGACAATTCAACAAGCATATGACTGAAAAGTTCTGGCAACTGATTCCAGAAAATGAGTTGGTGAAAAACACAGCATCAAAATAAGAAGTGGAATTATGATCAGAGCACCCTGAAAGCTGGCCAGAGTGCACAAAGTGCCTGAATACCACCCATTCACTCATTCATTTATTCATTCATCCCCTCACTCATTCATTCACCCATTCATTTGTTTCCTAGCTAATGTGCTTGAGCTCCTACTATATGCTTTGTTGTTAAAAAAAACACAAAAGCAAAATAACCCACCTTAGTGTTTTAACTAGAAGAGAGTCAATGACAATGACAGTCTCCTGACTATCAGCTACACTTTCCCATCCCAGGAGTTCTGAATAGCTTTGGTCCAAACTCTATACCATGCCTGGACGTATTCAGTGCTGAGCATTAATTTTCTTGAATTTCATGGTGGTGGGTGTCAATGATCATTCTAGCTCTGGGGTCATGCTTTCTGCTTATCTGCTCATCTTGCTTTGTCCTCTTCATGTTCCCCAACCCGCACATGGGAAACAGTTGTTCCTCCCATTTTTATGCAGCACCTCCTTGTGTGGGCAGGACATTTGGTGGCGGTTCTAGAAAGCTGACGGAATATTGAAGGTGAGTGCTGTTGGCTGCCTGCACCCAGCTTTGTGGCACCACCTTGCCGTTTTCCTGCCCTTATTCTCATCTTTGCCCCTTAATCTTCCAGCCCGTGTTCTGGGTCTATGAGTCTGTGTTCCGTCCCTGAGGTCCAGGCTTGAGCACTTATTCCCACACCTAACAGGCTCCCCCAGTAGGATAGTTTGCTTCCCTTTTCAATGAAACTCCTTGTAGTGACAATTTAAGAACGTATTAATCTATTCTGAATGTGAGTTTTTGTCAGAGTCTCTCCTCCTTGTCACTTTTCTTTTACTTTCCTGTTTGATAAAAAAAAGCACTCTATATTTTAATGAAGCCAATCACTCTCTTTACCCGGGCCCTTCTTGTGTCCTGCTTAAGCAGTATTTTGCATACTCCAAAGTCCTGAACTTTCTATGCTAGATTTTCTAAAAGCTTGATTTCTTGAGCTTTCCTGGTTAATTCCATCTCAAATTCATTTTGTGTGATGTGAGGTAGAAATCAAAATTCATTCTTCTGGTTTCTCCAAAGCCACTGATTGATACTGTCTTCCTCCCAACTCCCTGAATTGTGATGGCCACTTAAACTGCATGGCCGCGTATATGTTATCTACTTTTGATTTTTGTTTGCCGTTACAGTACTGGATGAGGAGGGACTGAGTTCATTGTCTCTCCCACTACCACTGAGCTGTATCCCTGGTCCCCTTTTTCCAAATGAGACAGGGTGTTGTCACTAAGTTCCCCAGGCTGACCTTGAATTTATGATCCTCCCGCCTCATCTACTTTGGTAGCAGGATTATAGTACCACTAGGCTCAGCTTATTTCAGTCAACTTTTCCATTTCCCTGACCTTCATCTTTCTGCTAATGCTAGAATGGGAATTTTAAAAATTATTTTCCTTTTTCACATGTTCATTTCTTTATTCTTAAAATTATCTTACTATTGTGACTATGTATATGATGTGTGTATGATAGGGTGGGGTGGGCATAGAAGACAACTCTATTGAGTCTGTCCTCACCTTCCACCATTACCTGGCCTCTAGGGATTTAACTCAATTAGCGAGGCTTACTCAGCAGGTGCGTTGAGCTGCTGAGCCACCTCCTGGGTCCTATTGTGAGGTGCTTTTATATTTAAAACAGACTATAATGTAAACCAGAGGGCTTAAGCTGAAGGGAGAGGATCAGAAATGACTTTGCAGCTTGAGTCAGTTGAGTAAAGCTCTTTACAATTTGTCCTCCAGGGCAAATTCACTTTTCCCGGGGCCCTGATTTCAGTTCATGTGAGCCATGGGAGGTAGGCACTGGTCTGGGCAAAACTAGTGGGTGATTGGAGAAGACACCAGCAAAGGTGGAAAGGTACACTGAATAGATGTGAAACCAAAGCCCCAAAGGGATTT